TTACGGGCGACCCCCAAACATTAACTTTTCCCCTTTTAAGCGCCGACAGATTCTGGCGACTCCGCTGGGGATAGGGCACATTCCTGCCACGTGACTGAGGATAGGGCATATTAATAAGAAAATAATATTGCAAAAATAAATAGAAAACATAACAAGGAATGAAAATCTCTCAATTGACATGTCCAAAGTAGCATAAATATCTAAAACATTGTGAAAAATCATAATCAAATAAAAATACCCAAAGTAGATAAATAAATAACAAATATAAAATGTCACACAAGAATCTAATAAATAAAATTGTCCCTCAAACTTCACCACTCCCATGAAAATAACGTAGGTAATCCACCCTACAATCATCGGTCATTGTTATGAAAAACTCTCTCCGGGTCGAATATTCAAGCAACTTCATAGAGAACAAATAAATATGTTTTCGTAAATTTTTGGAGTTGCCTCCAGAATTTAATCTGTCGGACAGAAGTTGCTTGTGATAGGTCGGGGTCATTGGTGCATGAAGCCACCAACTGCAAGATCTGGCTTTCAAGAAAAGCAGCTCCCTTTTTTTTCCAACTCGGGGACGCTTTGACTGGCTCGTAGACTCAACTTCATGGAGGTTCGGGCTGGAGCATTCATTGAAATTATTTGTTTGATTAGCTCCCAAATTTTCAGGGATGTCACCAAACCCCGCCTTACTGGGGACACATGCTTTATTTTCTATTGCCACTGCACCTCCAAACATACAATCCAACTTCTCCTCTAGCTCAGGATCGATTCTACTGTATTTAAATTTTTTCGCAGCAGACATCACCTATAAATGCATTTAACATATTGGATTTGAAACAATTAAAAAACTGACAAAAATAAGGGGAATTTTAAAAATGCTTACCGCCAGTCTCTCTGCCCACCACTCCTCAGAAGCATCAATTGTTTACTTTACCGAATCTCACCCCAAGCCCGTTAATCCTTACTTCAATTCTTTTTAGAATTTTCAATCATTCTTTAGTTGATTCAATTTGTTTTTTAGTTGCATCCTATCACACATTTTGCATGTAATTTCATTGAATTTTCTAATAATATTTTGCCAGTCATTTTTGTTGAAATAGATTGTCGGCCTAATTTTCAGTTCGACATCTTTGATGCAAAGATCGCAAAATATTATCTTTGTATCCTTATCCTACATTGCAGACGAATCGATCTCTTTGGTCTTAACCATTGTGATACTAGAATGAAAAAAATAATTAACATAAACCCTGAGAGTTACAAATAAAGAATGTCACAAATCATCAGAAATGTCTTTCCACATACAAACACATCTACCATCACCAACACCCACACAAACATGTACACCATCACTAACAACCACACGCCTTCCACCACAGCCTCACTTACAAACGAACACATCCGCACACCAGATGTCCACAAACCATTTACCACACACCTGCCCATGTCATTTAAAACTCTAAAAGCTAACATGTAATATACACCACACATCACATCATCACCACCACCACCTTCACACACCACACACCACACACCACACACCACATACTAGCACACATCACACATACTAGCAAGCACCTACACACATCTGCACATTCTCAACCATCACACCACCATATGTGCTTCGAATGTTCAAATGCAAACACCACCACCTCTGAGCATATCACAACCGAAGTATAAAGCATTTGTATGATGCAAACTGAGCATCATAAAGTATAAAGCTACATAATCGAGCAAGGTTAAACAAGGATGCAACATAAAGTGTAAAGCATCAAACTGAGCATCATGGATGCAACATGAAACATCAAACCAAGCATCATGGATGCAACATAAAGCATCAAAATCATCAACTGAGCATATCACAACCGAGCTTTATGTATGCAATATAAAGAATTAAAATCATCCATGATATGCTTGGTTGATATGCATCACAACTGAGCATATCAAAATCATAATCCAAATTCAAATCAACCAAGCATATGAAACCGCAAACCACCAAACAAAGCAAAAAGAGAAATCAGAGGAGAGGAAACAAACAACCAAACCGAGCACCATTGCACATTAGCATTTTCAGAATCATAAAGCCACCTAATAGATAAGACAACGATTATCGGAACAGAGGGGAGAGGCAGGAGAGGAACTACCGCACAGAGCGCATAATGCGCACAACCACCAAACCGAGTCGAAGAAGAGAAGGGACAGAGAAAGAAAGAATAGAAAGCTCGTCGCAATAACTACCAACCAAAGAAAGAGAACCACAGAACAGAGCACAAAGTGCACAAAGCCACCAAATCGAGCGGAAGAAAGGAGAGGAGAGGGAGAAGTATGTAAGGGTCACCGGAATAATCACCCGCAACCAATATGAGGCAACCAGAAACAATGTCTAGCCACCGGAGCCACAAAACTAAGGGGATCAGAGAAGAGAAATTAGGGCAATTGTCGCATCGAGGGAGCCGCAAAGGAACAAGAGGGCAGCCGTGAAAGAAACACAAAAGGGCAACCGCGTAAAATAAAATAGAAGGAATGTGGGTGGCATAGTCAAACTCGTGGCCCACGTTTCGATTGGATTTATCAAAACACCCTTGCAACTGCAGCATTCAAACAACCCAAACCACTGTCCCAGATCACACCACAGTAAAACTGACGCCCCAAACGACCTGTAAAAGAGCAATTTATTTATTTGTTAGTTATTATTGTGGGGATATAAATATGGCTTAATGTGTGTAAGGTTGTCATAGGTGATTGTTGTATTGAATCTTGGGGTAAGGATTTGGGAGAGAATTTATACCTCTAGAATCGTAGGTTTGTCTTTTATGTATTATGAATTATACCATTTTGATTTGAGACTGGCATAATAAAATCTATTATTTTTGTCCTAGTCTCCGTGGAAAGTTGTCTCCTTTCTATCACAAGCCCAATCAATTGAAAGTATTTGCACATTAAACAGAGGATTTAAGTCAAGTTAGAATGATTTATTAATTATTGTGCTGACATAATTCATGATGCAAGAAATAAACACGATGACAATGTTGTCTGATCGAGTGCAATTCACCTTGCTAAAAACACAAACATATTATTCTAAGATATAACTCATCCATTTAAAATATGATTTAATTTGAGAACTATTGGGACATGGTATTTTCTTATTGAATAATGTCTAGGAATCTTAGAACTCGGCTTGCTTGGTTACTAAGACAGTCATTATAGACAAATTGAAGCTTTGCAAAACCTCAATTATGGCTCCATGGATGATTGAGATAAGATGTCACATGATAGTGCATAAAATAATGTCTTTGAATGGAAGATTGTTGACATGAGAAGATCAAATTCATTTATAACATTGGTTTCAAAATTAAATAACTCCTACAAATCATAGATAAGATTTGGATTGAATAATCAAAGAACCCATCACATAGTGTTCTCATTTAGCTTGCCATGATACCTAACACTCTGCATCTATAAATTCCAAAGAAACCTGTAGCTAGAACATGTAGAACAGGGAAAGCTTATTTCGGGCTGTTGTTTTTCTCATGAATTTCATCTTTATCTAAAGCAATGCTTGTGGAGCAGGAGCAAATGCTTGTATTCAACTGCTGCAATCAAGGGTTTGATGTACCTGGATGTGGAAGAGGACTGCTGAAGTTGATAGTTGAGAAGAATGCAACAGTCAAAATAATAAAGGCTTTTATTATTATTTTTTCTTAAATAAAACTATCTTTGATTATATTATCCTTTCAGTGTTTTTGAGTTTAATTTTGCTAAGAAAAAGGAGATGTTTGGAGAGTGCACTAGAAAATGATATGAAAGGAAGAGAGGAGGAATAGTAGAGGGAGAGAACAAATGAGAGAAAATATCTGATTCAATCATTTATATGATTTTCTTGTCTCTAGACTAGTGAGAACTTCACCCAACCGCAAAATTTCTTCCTGTTTCCGGACTTTTTTGGTTTTTTGGTCTTACCTATTGTTATTGCCTTTGCAATTTTATCTTTTTCCAACAAAAGCTACCTAATAAATGACAAGAAAAATATGCTCATTAGCGGAACTCAGCGAAAATTGTGTTTCCAAACATTTTTATTTTTCCAGGTCCAGGAGATTGAAACATACATGCTGCTTATAATTGATGAAGATTTGCATTCATCATGGTTATACTGAGGTCATGCATACGACTACAAGGATGCATGTGAAATATGGTTGCATTGTTCCTTAAATTGATTTTCTTTAGTTATTTGACAGGATGTATCCTTGTTTTTTTATGTTTATATAAACAATTTTATAGATAATAATTTTCATCATATTTTTTAGTTTTTTACTTGGCGTTCTGCTTGGCCCGCATACTGAGTTTTTTTTTTTCTTATGATAGATGTTTTTAGATTCAAGTTACTAAAAGTAATTATTACCAGTTTATTATGTGAATGAAAAAAAATCTCCTTTAGTCTATAATATTAGCACACCCTGCTATTTCGGTGGCTAAAAAATGTGTTGAAACGAGGAACTTCTGGAAACAAACTCCTGAAAGGTACCTTGTTAGAAGTCAAACTATAAATGTTCATAAAGAGAGTACTCACTAATATAAAGCGGGCTCTTTGTAAATAAGAATGAAGTCAATCCCTAGCTTCTCTTAAATTTCTGTCGAGGTAACTTCAAGCATCCAGGTTGCTGGATTATAATTATCTTTAATCTTCGGAATGCCAGGAATTCCCAGTGAAAAAAATGGTGGTATTATACGTGAATTATATTTTGAACTTTAAATTGTTTATTTAAAAGGAACCAACTGATTTTTTTTTTTTGAACAATCCTTGTTATTTACGTACAAGAATGATATAGTAATGCATCATTTAGACTACCATAGCTGTGTTTTGACGAAATTCAGAATATGTTGCTGCAGTTGATCATGCATAAAGACCTTTATGGAAGGCTTTTTTCCATTGGCATGCACGTAGTTTTATTGGTCCTTTCAGAAATAAACGATCGCATTTGTAGGGTAACATCGTCTCTTTTGATTTTTTTTATATTACACAATTTGTTTTAATTCTAGGTGCATTTTTAAGTTTTTCTTTTAATTCCTTTTAATGATAACGTATTTAATCTTTTAGGTAGATACATGTGATCTATTAAGTTATGTTTTTTAACTTATGCTTTAATCATGTTCTTATCCTAATGATTTTTATCTTCATTAACTTGTAACTTTTGTGCTAGTCAACTACCCATTTTAATTTGATTGAAATGTAAAGGTGCTCTGGATAATCAAAATTCATCTTTGAAATTTGCAAAGAAATAACCAGACATGAATACTAAGGGTGGTGTTAGGAAATTTAGTTTTCAATAATTAGTATAATAATTTTGAGGATGCAACAAAACTGAGTTTAATAGTGAAAACGTACCTCAAAATACTCAATATAGTTCATTGAATTTTTACCTGATGGTCTGAAGTGGATTTGGCCTCTTCTTTTCATCAAGAACATCTGGACAAAGAAGATAAGGCCATCCAGTCCATATCTGTACCCATGATTTCAACATGTTTGTAGAATTTGTGATCATCATCATCATTAATCTTAACTATATGGGGCTTGCTTTATGATTCATCATTTTTATTTGGTTTGTTGAGTGTTATATGAGGTGATAAAGACAATCATGTTCATATTTTTTAAAATTTCATTGAAGTTACTTTATCTCCACACCTTTTTCATCGTAATCTTTCTACATTAATTTTCCTTACATGTCTAATGGGGGCATTTTCCACTGTTTTTATATATATGGAATGCACCAAACTCATTTTTCTACGATCGTATCTTTAATTATGTTTCGCTAATTGTTCCTCAAATATGACATTCATTCCTTTTACATTCTATAAATTGCCACACATTTATTTTGATATTTCAATTTGTGCCATATGTTACTTTGCTTTTGAATTTTTTAGTGCACAATATACGTACCCCACACAATATAGCTGATCTAATTGTTGTTTTATAAACTGTGTGATGTATAATTTAAAATTGATTTTAGGGCCTCCCTGAGGTGAGAAAAATTATTTTGGTGTGGTTATAATATCCTCCATTCAATCTCTCACACCCCCTTCCCCTCGACCCTCAACCAAAAAAATAAAAGCATATAATGTAGTACGTAGTTTTATGTGATCCCACACATTGATGGCTAACCTAGTTTAACCAGTCAATGTTCTTAGCTGGCAATATATTTTTATGTTTGTTTTCTTCATTTGAGTCTTGTGTATTTTGCACATTGTCATTTAGCCATTTAAGCGAATGTAATTAAGCATGTGATGATATTTCTTTTTTGTACTAGAAAAGGACGCTTGCATATTGAATCAAAATTTGTTCTTCCATGAAAATCACTTCCTCCTCTCTTGTTGGCTTTTCCTTTCCCCATCCCACCTCACGAGTAAGGTTGTACCCACCCCCTTGTTTCTGTGCCTTCCATATTTTCTCTCTCTAACTCTCCTCCTCCTCCTCTAGAAGATGGATACTTTTTATCCGTTGAAACTCATGGCTAAGCCTAAGAAAGAACAATATTGCTATGTTTCTCCATCAAAACTGCTACCTAAGACAAATTTCTTATGCTAGTTTTCCTTCTTGGATTCGGATATAGTAGAAAAAATAATTTGATTAAACTGTAGAAAGTGCAATGTTAGAGATGATAAGCTCACCTTACATATCTTTGAACATCCTCCTAGATGAAGTTCTGCTCAAATGGGACTATTTCACCATGGAGGGCCAGTGTATTTTTTTAAGAACAGCTATGTTAATTGCTAAATCTTATTCCATTCATTTTTGACCAGCATGCATATGTTGGAGTAAAAGTTTTTTTTTGTTTTGTTTTTGGTTTGTTTCATAAGGCTTAAAATCTTATTAGATAGGTTTTGTTTAAATATTTAGATATCAATTATAATAGACGGGGGAGTGATATTTTGAGAATTTATTGAATTAAAATCTTAAGTTGGTTATTTCCTTACATATGTAATTTTTTTGCTATTTAGGATGAAAGAAAATTTATTTTGCATTGATTTAAGGTAGCACAAGGGAGAATTTGAGCACATATTTTTGAGTAGCAATTATGGTTGTGTATATTAAAGTAAATAACTTAAAGAAATAATTTTCCTTCGATAAGATAATGAAATCTGAAAGATTTGAAATTTTACTTTAAGAAATTATTAAATGAGAGCTTTAATGAACTAAGTTAGTTTGAAAGATAATACTACATAATAAATGAGGTGTATTATACATTAATTAAAAAAATAAAGCGGAGTTATTTATTTAGAAGATATATAACTATGAAACTTTTGGTCTTGATGTGACACCTAACAAGATTTGAAAAGTTATGAAAGATATTACGGTAAAATAGTTAGTCAAAATTTTCAATGGAATATTGAAAACTAAGATGGTAACAAATGATTGAAATTGATGCATTTATATATTTAATAAAAACAATGTTCAAGGCTATGATAATTATAGAGGACTCAAATAATTGATGAGCCATATAATGAGATTATGGGGAGAATAATGGAACTTAAAGTTAAAAAAATGTGTTATTTTATTTTTGTTACGAGGGGTGCAATTTGTTTTTATGGAATAATAATCTATAATGGAAGAGATTTTTGTATTAGGAAAACTAGAAAAAAAATATAGAGTAGTGAAATAATCTTTGCATGATGTTTATTTAACTTGAAGAGGCATATGAATGGGTAGCATTGAATTAGATTGATTCTCATTATGGATGAAAGTGTATGTTAAATGTATGTCAAAGTCATTAATAATATATGATAAAGTACTAGCTAGTATCAAAAGTAGTTGCAAAGGATTAAAGAGTTTTCAGTTATAGTTGGATTGTATCAATGACTAATATTTAGTCTATGTTTTTTTGTATTATGACAATGTCTAGACTAGACATTTACAATGAAGCGACTTAGTTTATGCTTTTTGTATTTGACTCAACTTTAATCGATGAGATATCTATTGATATAAGTAGAAAATCTTGAAAATTTGTAGAAGTAGATGGGTTAAAATTTTTAAACAAATGAACAAGTGTATGCTGTGTAATTTTATTTGGTGAATTAATAATTATCAGTTATCATTAGAAGATAAAGTGAAACCTATGCATGGTATTTCTAGTAGTTTAAATTTATTATACAAAAAAATGGAGATCTAACTTATAAAAAATGTTGTTTTTGGACATCCTGATCTAAACAAGCATCAAGATGTTTATTAGATGAAATGTGCTGCCTATAAATCAACTCTTGAACATGAATTCAGAAAATATAAAAACATTTGGTAGTAAGGTAGAACCCAAATTCTATTTATAAATGACATATGTGAATTCGCGAAAATAAAAGACATGCTAAAAAGTTGAAAAGAGGATTTCTTTTATAGAAGATATCAGATGATTGTGTGACACATGTTGTCTAGTGAACCCATCCTTATGTATTTGCATCATGATGTTCATATACAAATTTTATTGTAATTTTTCAATTAAGTTTGGGTGGTTAAAATAAGTAAGTTCTTGAGGAGGACATCTAATAGGTTGAAAAGTAAATTTTACAATATTGCAAATAGGTTAACTATAATGTTTCAAATTGGGTGTTGGGTTGTAAAAAATTGATTAACTAAGTTGATTGTGGTGAAAATAAGAATATTAATGTGGATAAATGATAAAATCATAAATGATAATTAAATAATGATTATATTCGAGAAATAATTTAAGTGATATATATTAAACATATGGTAGCTAGAAATGGATTTAGGTTGTTTGAACATACACGATAATGGATGGCTAATGCTTCAATTAGAGTTGCAAATAAAAGTAATGAATGAAATTAAGAAAATGTGGTAATCCTAAGATAATAGTAATATAAGTTGTTCAAAATAATTATGATGAGTAAGCTTAGTATCTTAGTTGCATTTAATAAAAATTGATGGAAATTGTACAAGAGGGGATATATATATATATATATATATATATATATATATATAGTAAGCATTATAAAATAGTAATAAAACCAAAAAAAGAGGACCAAGTTAATAGAGGTCTGTGATCATTTAGAAAAACACACAGATTACAGTCTGAGAGTCATAGAAAGACTGATGTAATGGTATAGAACCTTGATTTGTGTGCCTCAAATTCCTTGCTATATGAGGGTTATAACCAAATAGATCCAACGATACAAAGCCTTAGTTCGTGTGCTTCAAGCTCTTCGCTCTGATTGGAACAAAAAATTAACACTTCTCCTCGTACTGGATGACAGAGATTTACCATTCCATGTTTGCTTATGATATTTTTAAATATTCGGCTGCATAATGCTTTTGGTGCATATGTCGACCGGATGATTTATGTTG